GCGTTCTGTAGCGTGCGCCGGTCCACATGCAGCATCCTGGGGAGGCGTGCGGGCCATGGGGAGGGGTCAGGCGGTGGGGAGGCAGGACGGACTGGGGGCAGTGGCAGGGAGGCGGTGGCACGCTCACCGGAAGGCGCGGGGGTTGAGGCCGGCGTGGTGGGGCAGCATGGTGGTCAGCGCGTTCTGCAGCATCAGCAGCCGCCGGTAGGTCTTCTCCTGCATGGGCAGCAGGAGCCCGATGCCACCGTCCAGTGTGGCTGCAGGGGGCACAGTGTGAGCCAGGCTGACCCCACAACACCCCTGCCCCCGTCCAGCCCTGGTGCTCACCAAACCACGTGATATGCTTGTTCTCCCACACGACCGACTTCTTACTGGGCCCCTCGGCAGCCCCCCGGCATGGTGTTCTCCAGAAGGTATTCACATGGGCGCCCACATGGAAGTCCGCCCGGCGCAGCAGGCGCATGCCACCAAAGCTCTCCTTTGCTGAGCCAGCGGGACCCCAGGTCAGGGCTGCTCAGCCCCACCCCACCCCACCCCGCCCAGCAGAGGGGAGGAGGGAACACTCACCTTCCGGCAGGTACATGTACACCATCAGGTTGCGGTCACGGTCAGACACTAGGTACAGAGCCGAGTCAGCCCTGGCCACCCCACAAGTCTCAGGGACCCTGGCCCCCAGGCCCAGCACTCACCCAGGAAGCCCAGCTGGGCATTGTCCACCATGAAGTCCACGCTGTACACTTCCAGGGGCTTGGCGTCCTGGAGACAGGGAGGAGGGACGTCAGGCCGCTGGCAGCCGGCAGCTACCCCACCCAGTGCCCAGCCCCACGGGTACCCGGGACACGAGGCTCAGTGTCTTGCTGTCCTCTTGGTAGCGGAGCAGCGAGATACTCTTCATGACATCGGCAGCCAGGATGAAGTTCTTAACACTGATCATCTGGTGGATGTACAGCTGGGTGTCGATGAAGGCCATGCCCGTCAGCTCGCTGGCACGCAGGCTCCACAGAAAGATCTGTGGATGGCAGAGGTGGCAGCCGGCGCGGGGGTGGGCCAGGTCAGGGTGGGCAGGCAGGCGGGGCAGGGGAGGGACGCACCTTCTGGCCTATGGCCGAAACCAGGTGGCCGTTGCAATGGCACAGGGCGGTCACGGGCCCCTTTTGCTCCTTCTCATATAGGACCTTGAACTTGTTCTTGGTCAGGGGCTGGCCGGGCTCAGGCACCACCTCAATCACGTCCATGATGAGGATCTGTGAGCAGGGAGGGCAGTGGGTGACATGGGGGCGGCACAGGCTGTTGTGATCCCACCCCGCTCGCCGGCCCCGCTCGTCAGCCCCTTACCCGCCCGCGGCAGGTGACCTCCTCCCCTTGCATGAGACAGGTCCCAGCGGCCACGTAGCCCTTGAGGCCAGACACAGTCTCCTCACTGCGCAGCGACACCGTCTTCATGCACGTCACGTGCTCCCACTCCTCCAGCTCAATCCTGCACGAAGCTGAGTCAGGACACAACCCCGGGCACACCCCAGCCCCGCCAGGCCCAGCCTCACCTGGCATTGGGGATGGCCTCCCAGCTGACAGGAGAGATAAGCTGGATGGAGAAGGCCTCCTGCTGGGGGTGGATGTACCGGTCATCTGCAGAGACAGGGGCGGTGGTCAGGGTGGGGCAGCCCCAAGAGTAGGCCCAGCTCAGGCCGTCTCCCACCTCTCTCGATGGTCTCAAACTCCTTCTCCTCGCCCGTCATGCGTGGGATGCGGGTGCACGGCGTGTTGGTGCTGGTGGCGACAGCATACACCTGGGGGAGTGGAGGTGTCACACGCCAGAGGCCAGGCACAGAAGGTCCCTGGCCTTGAGGGGGGTTCAGACCTTGGACTCCACGTGGTAGGCCACGTAGTGGGCCGTGCAGCGGAGTGGGATCTTCCTGACAGGCCATGGGGCGTCGTAGGACAAGTAGGCAGGCAGGACACTGATCCTCAGCTCGCCCTGGGGAAAGGCGGGTGTCAGCGAGGCCTGGCACTGCTGGAAGCAAGACCAGCAAGCGACGCCAGGCCTCTGCAGGCATCCTGGGGCCAGCCCTCGGTTCTGCTGGGGGCGGGTGGGCGAGGGGCTGTGGCTCGCTGGCCCTTCTCAGGTTTACGAGGGCTGGGAGGCTGGCTACAGCTGTGGTGTGGCCAGTCCCAGAGGGCGCTGGAGGCAGCGTGGCCTACACTGGCTGGTGTGTGCACAGGTGAGGGCACCCCTGCTAGGGCCCCAGCCTCTCTCCCTCACCCAGTCCTGGGTGTATCAGCACCGCCATCACTGAGGCCTCAGAATGGCCCCAGGGGTCACTGCTATCACTTCAATGACAGAAAAGGAGTGAGGATCAGGGGGCTGAGGAGCAGAGCAGTGACTGGACCCCGGCCACCCAGGCAGACGGCTGCAGCCTCTACTCCCGACCCCCTCCTCAAAACCTTGGCAGCATTAAGCCCTGGGTTTCACCTCATTGGCCTTGACACTCCCCCCCAGCAGTTGGGGGCCTCATTTCCGGGGCCCCAGCACCTGCTCCTGCCCTGGGCCGCACTGGCATGTACCGGCGGGAGCTGGGCGAGGCATGGGGGCAGCACCAGCGAAGCCCCTACCTGTCTGTTGAAGTACAGGAAACCGCGGGGGCAGTTGACATTGTGGAACGGGGCAAAGGAGTCGATGGGGCCGTCGATGCCCATGGGGTGCAGCCGCAGGGCCCCCCGGCCGGTCACCAGGAGCCAGTGGGGCGAGGGGCCGCAGATGAACACCTGAGGGTGGCAGTGTGAGGCGGTCGCAGGGGCTCCCCCACCGCCCCCCGGGCTCCCGCACTGCCATCGGCCTGACGCCATCTGCCTGCCTACCCCCGAGTAGCCGTAAATGTCCTCGAAGTACCGGAAGCGCGCCACGCGCCCGCGGGCCCCTGCCCCCTCCTCAGCAGCGCCGCCCTCCGCCTTCTTCTTGGACGGCTTGGGCTTCTTCTCGCGGAAGTTGATGTTGTGGGGGACCTGGCGGGGGTGCAGCATGAGGGACAGGACTCCAGCAGGACCAACCAACACCCCCCTCCACGCCCCACCTCCGGCCCCAGCACCTTTTTAAAGCGGACTTTGAGGTTCCCCTGGCCAAGCTGTGAGTCGTGGGGGAAGGCCTCGTAGACGAGCAGCTCCTGGTCCACGTGCACCTGGGGGGCCGGTGTCGGGTCAGCGGGGGCAGGCAGGGCAGGCAGTGCGGGCACGGGGCAGGGAAGCGCGTGGGTGGTGGTGCAGGTCTGTGCTCACCAGCAGGTAGGGCCTGCTCTGGCGGCTCCCCAGGGCCACCAGCAGCACCTCCTTGACGAGGGGCAACTCCCCCTGGCGCGTGGCCTCCTCCTTGCGGGCCTCGCCCTGAGTGGTGGGCTGGCCGAAGGAGCTGTCCACCAGGACCCGCTGCCCCACGGGGAAGTTCTTCACCAGGAACACCAGCCGCCAGTCCGGGAGCTGGTAGATCTGTGGGACAGCGGCAGTTAGCAGGGGCGGGGCGGGCCGAGGGGGTGGGGCGGGGCAGGGGTGCGCAAGGCAGCACCCACCTCCAGGGTTCCGTTCTCCCGCACCAGCAGGCACCAGTGGGTAGGCTCCGCCCGGAAGGGGGTGAGGTCCCGGTCTGCAGGGGGCTGGCTGCTCCTGCGGGCCTCCTCCTTGCTGGGGCTGAAGAGGGAGCCGGAGTCCCCGTACAGCATCTCCTCCTCGTCGTCCACAGTGGGGCTGGTGGGCAGACACGTCACAGGTGGCCTGTCACAGGGACCCCAGCCCCCGGCACCCTGGCCTTGCACACACCTGGTCTCTGAGCCCTGACCCTCTGCATCGGAGCCACTGCGGCCCCCCAGCTCATCGCGGGCGCCACCCAGGTGGCTCTCTGTGGTGAACATGCCGCTGACATCTCGGTACACGCACAGCGTGATCACCTTGGACTGCTGCGGGGGGGCGGGGGGAGCAGGCTCAGCAGAGGAGCAGGGGCAGGGCTGGACAGGGCGGGATGGGGTGGGGACCCTGTGGGCCAGGGGGTGGATAAGGGGGTCCTACATGGTGCAGTGGGGGCTTGTGCAGTGCCAGGCGGTGGTGGCGACCCCCATATGAGTCGCTCTTGAGCAGGAACATGGTGACGTGGCCCTCAGCACTCATGATGACCACGTAGGGGTCGGCCACGGCGCACTGCACGATGGGGGAACCCAGGTCCACAGGGATGAAGTGCAGCTGGTTCACTGTGGACAGAGGGCTGTCAGTACAGGCCACCCCCAGGCTGTCCGTCCAGCCAACCAGCCGCGCCCGCCCAGCAGGCCCACCTCCTTCCAACAGGCGGATGCCGAGTGGTGACACTTGCACGATGTAACGATTGTCCCCGATGTTGCCGGCAAAGACCGTGGGGCCCTGTGTGGCAAAGCCGCTGGTGTCCAGCTCCATGATCTCCTGCCCCGTCTGCAGGATCTGTGGGCGACGACGGGTGAGGTGTGCCCCTCACCCATGACGCCCCTGCCCTAGGTGGCCGGGCTTCACCCCTCACCATGGTGGAGTCTTCCCGGCTCAGAATGAGAAACCCATG